AAAAAACAGCATTCGGTGCGTGAGGAGCTAAGGGCCAACCAGGTCATGCTGGGCACGTTAACTCAGCTGGCAGCATCTCACGGTGTCCAGGTGCTAATTAGGATTATGGAGCTAATTGGGATTATGAGGCAGCATTTCTGAAGGGCTGATATTAATTGCTTAACTGCCCCTCGGTGTAGAGATTGCAGAACATGGAGAGTTCATCTCTCTACTCGATTATCCTGTATCATAAATAACCACATTGCCAGTAATTTGGAGCGGTTCCCCTTATACGGGACACAGAACGGATGCTGAGGACTCTCCTCAGGTCCAGCAGAGAGGGTGATCTGGTCTCTGCACGAGCACAGGCCAGCTTGTACAGTGCTCCATCACTGATGCACATGCCCTTTGCCAGAGGCAGCTCCCCAAAAATATTAGTTCTGCCACATACTTTCACCCAAACGGGTCAGAGTAATCATCTGGTTGCAACCTACCTGAGTGTGCTACTACTCTGGCTCAGCACACAGAAATCCAACTAATTCTGACATTAAATCGGGCAAAGAGCTTAGATTATTTGTCCCTGGCCAAGTTGGAGACAGGGGCCAGGAGCAAGCTCTGACTTTGGCACATAAAGCTTCCCCATAGCGTACATGGTACCTACACACAGAAACGCATCTTATCTTCACAATGGCCAGAACCTCTAGGCAAAGAGGGAGCACCAGCATTTTCATGCAAAGTATCCCATTATTTTCTTTCTAAGGTCCAGGAGACTGACTCGGCTGAGGATACAAGCGCCCATAAGTGCAGCATGCCGCGAGCTCCCAGCTAGGCCCGAGGACCTACCTGCGAACCAGGTGCCTGAATGCATAACGCTGGATGACTATGGCAGCCCCCTTCAGCCGCTGGTACTTGGCTCTCTGCAGCCAGCCCCGCACTGTCTTCTGAATCATGATGATGGCAGGTCTGAACTTATCCGCCCGCATTTTCTCCAGATATGCCACCTGGCCTGCATGGAAAAAGATCTTGGTACGTCCAAACTGGAACCTGTCCGGATCCTTTTCAAAAGCATAAAGGAAACTATATTTAATTGAGGCAAACATTTTTTCTTTCAATCTCTGTACGTTGCTCAGTAGATACAAATAACACATTTTTGAATCAAGTTTACCAGTTCAGTTCACAATTATTTTCCATGAAGGTACAATTAGACTCCCAACTACTTCGGCTTCTATATACTCATTTTGGAATATGTCACGAGGAATCAGGCTGAAGTTCCACATATTTACATGAATCTTAAGTACATTTGTTTATATACCAATGGAAGCCCAGGGGACTTCAAGAAAAGGTTTCCTTCTAGAGAAGATATGGGCTTGCACCTGCAGAGGCACATGCTGCTGAGGAGGCAACACTCAGGGCATAGGGAAAAGGCCCTTTGCAGCAAGAAACCCAAATTAGTAAGTTCCTCAAAAATTCATTATAAAACATGGACCAGAAATAAAAACCTGACTCCAGTGCTACGCACATTTCGGGCTCCTCTGCAGCAAGAGAGCAAGAAGAAACCTTTGAGTGTGCAACCATAATTTAGAAGTAGCGCACACAACTCCGAGCAGCAAGGAGAAGTGGAAGGGATTTGCTGACATATATAAGGGAAAAAGGGTCCCATGCAAAGGATTTTTTTTTTTTTTTGCATGGAAGTTGCCACTAAAAGTCTCCCATACATCAAGATGGGGCATTTTGGAAGAAGCTGCCTTGACTTAATCAGCACCTGCACAAGCAGCAGGTGAAGTGGGAGAAGGGAAGGCGATTCAGATCGTATCAGTCATGAACTTCTGCACTACAAGGTCAGTCCCAGCTCACCTTAAAGAGGTCTTCCAACAAGGTCTGGCAGATCTGCTTCTTGTTGTTCTTTGAGACATCTCTCTTCTTCATAAGGACACGGTATCTGTTGAAGAAGTCATGGTAGGACCACCTGAAAGCAAAGCACACCCAGAATCAACCTGTGCGATGGGCGCCGTTTCTTCACTGCCACGCTTCACATGGATCACAGTTCCCAGAAAGGATCTACCTTGTCCAAATCTAAACCCAATCTCAGCCATCCTTTGAACCCCAACCTATCGGTGCTTCCCTACTTTGCAATGGAAGCTCCATGAAAAAGGGCTCGTGAGCTCCCCTGCCCATGCATTGCACTGGGAACATCATCTTCCTCCCGGTCACCAAATCCTCTTGCTCGCAGCAAGAGCGCAGCAGTAAAGCTACACTTTCGGATGAATATAGAAATTTGAATCAATTCACTCACTAATCACCTCGCATTGTAAGTCTGTGGCTGAGACCTTTAAAACAAACATGATTTTTTTTGGACCCTGAAGAGCCAAGGCAGCAGCTTGGACAATACTTTGATCTGCTGCGCCTCAGCCCTCTCCAAATTACAGTGGTGAGTTATGGGCCCTCAGAAGCAGATTTGCTAATTGAAGCACCGGGCGTTACCAGCACAGCCAAAGAGCGGCTGCCATCGGTCCAAAGGAACCCATGCAGCGGATGTCAAGGGAAGGATGGGAGAAGACTGCAGAGATCTTGATTTCTGCTCTCCTGTAGCAAAGACATTAATGAGCCTTGACCTCACAGAACCCCCTCTGCAGCCCAGCAGCTCCACACATGTATTTATCTTTGTGCCACTACAATCAATTTTTCCTATTTTTTTCTGATTATCACAAAAGGCAGTATCATGCCTGTGACAGGTCCTTGTATCAGGTCTGTTTTCCGCAGAGACATCCTGCCATCTCTGCAGCTCCCATGCACAAGATTGATATCTCTACAAAACATCTCATTTTTAATGAATTTCCCTGCAAGCTGGGAACCTGGCAAGACAGATGTACCAGAAATCTCTCGCAAGTGAAATGATGAATAAGGCTTCACCCTGGCCCAAATAATGCAGCAAGGGAGGAAAGTCAGTATGATTAAAAGCAAGATGCTAATTAAAAGAACGCAGCAGAAGGGAAAGGTTCATGAAGAGAAAGGGGAAAAAAAAAAAAAAAAATCAGAGGAGGGCTGGGAAGGGCCATCCAACTCCTGCATGGAGAAGCTGTGCCCTTAACTCTGTTCGCAAAGAGTACAGGAATGGCTAAAACTAGAATGAGTCCTTAGCGTTGTATCTAAAATGAAAGTGAAGACAGCGTTACCAGGAACAGCAAAAGTCCCAAATTACCACTAGTTAAGAGAATTGTAACTAAAAAAAGATGCTCGCTGCAAAGAGCCATTTCTGAGGTGAGGAAGAGCATAACTCAACCCAACAATTACCCAAGGCTATGGGCTCATGTCATGGAGAGCCAAAACCGCTCTCTCTTCCTAGTTGCTGTCCTTTGTAAGTGCATTTCCAGTTTAGCACCTGACCTTGGCCCTTTGGCTTTGCACGTGTAGGATCACATCTCATGCTAACCCAAATCTAAAATAAAGCTGGTAGGACATCCTACCTGGCTCAGATGTTGCTCAAGTTGAATTTGTGGCAGAGCCCGGGGAAAGAGAGGAGGAGGAAGTTCTGCCATTAATCTGCCAGAGCCAGCTGAGAGGCTGGCAGTATTAAATGCTGCTATTAAGAGAAAAAAAAGTCATCTGGCAGGTGCTGCCAGGCTGCAGCAGCAGCAAACAGATGGCAAAGAGGCAGCCACGACCAAGGGAAGGCGGCCAAGCTGGGCAGACTGCAACCCAACCCACCCATCCTCTGGCACCCACACAGAGAAGGGCCAAATTTCACAGATGCTTCCAAACACAAGTCAGACACCTGCAGCACAGTGATTTAACAGGATTCAACAGTCTCGAGTTCACACTGTTTCTGCCATTTGCACAGAATAACCCCAAATCAGCTCTGCCACCCTGGGGGCCAGGTGGTCAAGCAGGAGCTTGATGCCATGGGCAAGAGAAACCACATCATGGGCAGACACTACTGGAACAGTGCTGAGGAAGGAGAGCAGGGCTATAAAACAGAGGCCATTCATGCAATGGGCTCATCAGGGCACGAGCCCGCTGGCCCCACAGGATGCTCCTTGGGCAGGATCCTTGCTGGTCCAGGTGAAGACAGCAGCGTTAAGGCAAAGGAAGCTGCAGAGGTTCCCAGCCACTGTTACAGGATCTCCCTAGAGAAAGAAGCTTTTAAAGCATTTAGGTTTAACATAACGTGGCTGCTTAAGCCACTTAAGGTTTAAAGCAATATGAAATTACCTTGCAGCTACATGCTTGGAGAGACACGATTCCCCAGCCCTACGCAAGCCCAAGATCTCTCTTGGGCAGAAATACTGGAGCTTAATGCTTGGGGCATGAACTTAAAAAACAAACAAAAAAACCCCCCACATTTTCATGTGTCTTCTTAGACATCAGCATCTTCAGTAAAGGAGAAAACAAGGAAAGGTCCTTCCCTCCTGCAAGGTACCCACGGATGAAGGATGCAGCTGCAGCAGGGGTTGGGACAGGAGAGTTATGTCACCCTTGGACTTGCTGGGTGTTATTAAAATAGCCCCAGCTGGGTATGAAGGTGGCCTTCCTCTTCAATCAGCACCACAACCATCACAACACAGGGCAAGGGCAAATCTCTTGGCTAGGACCTGGGAAACCCCCATGGACCATTAACTAAAGGCAGTTCTGACCTCCTCACTATCAAGGTACAAGATTCAGACAGGAGATTAGGGAGAAGAAAGGTTACTAGGATGATCTTTGCACCTGCACAGCTGAGAGAGAGGGAGAGTGAGGAACAATTGATACTGCTCAAACTTTCTCAAGAAAATAACCTCGGGGCTGAGATCAAGCTCAAGCAACCTCAAACATCCAAGTTTTGCTTTGAAGAGGCCACCAAAGAAAAGCAACAATAAAAGGAATGGAGAAATGCAAGAAAATAAATAACGCTGCTGAAAAAAGAAACCTCATTGGGCTGGAAAAACAAGGAGGATGGTTGCTGATTTGGCCAGGAGCAGGAGACCTGGTCAACCAGTCCAGTGATTTGTCACCTAAAGGAACAGTTGGGACCCAACCATCCTGTTACCTTTGCTGAGTGCAGACAGCCTTTTACAGGCGCAAAAGCTAAAATAAAAAAAATAATAAAAAATAATTCCCAGGCCATGTGACACTACCCACTGGAAGAATCAATATTTTAAATGGTCTGGGAGGTGGGAGATATCGATCTCTCTGCAGGAGCCGGAGATCCGTTTGGGGCCGGGCAGGACGAACAGCTGAGCCAAGATTTGCTACGAAAGTTCTTTAGAAACCACAGCCTAGGGAGGAAAATTTCTCCTGCTTTGTTTACTGCGGAACAGATTTGCCTTTCAATTAGCTCCAAAACATTCAGACTGGCATTTCTTGAAATTACCTGGAATATATTCAAAGAGCAGAACGTGGGATAAAAAAAAACCACTATTAATAAATCACTTTTAATAAATCACTCAAAGGCACGGGGTAAAAAACAAGAAATGCCCCTTATTTGAAAAAAGTTTCCATGGAATCAGCTGGCAGGAGACCTCGGGGATATGAACACCTTCACGTTGTACATGAAGGGCAAGGCATAGTCTGGTTAAAATTTAGGTGAAAACCACATTTTAGAGCATTTTGCTATTCGTTGAGCTCTGTACCAATTCATTTTCTATAGCCTAATTTTTAGGCAACCAGTTTAAAGAAGATAAACGGCTCATGAGGGAGACATGCTTCACACTTCGCCCACAAAAGCCGATGATAGCTACGCTATCAGCACCACTAACACAGTCCATTCATCACATTCCCTTATGTACACCCTAACAAATACATTTCTTAATGACTCTGTGGCATTTCAAAATAAATAATACATTTTCAATTGACTTTAGTTGCAGAATGCAGGATTCCACAAAAATGATAAAATAAAGGTAGGCGCACCCAAAGCAGGGGAAGGTGAGGCATCACCTTTCAGTGGATCTATATTATGACTTTCCTATGGGTTGAAAAACAATAAAAAGGAAATAACATATATTTCAAGAATATTCACAAATATTTCAAGATTTGTATGATTCTTTAAAGCAGTCTGAATATATAAACTTCACCCGTGGTCTATGTTTCAAGCAATGACCCTTTTTTTTGGGTATTACAAACTGACTTGTATTGATATAAAAGTGAATACACTGGAATAACTGAAGCCCACGGACATTTTGTGCTGTGATGAAAAGCGCGAACACGACCTCATGCATGTTAACTCAGAAAGAACTAAAACCCCTATTGCATTTCTCAGAGCAAGACTCTATAGAAGTAGCTTTTGCCAAGTTTATAAAGTCTATTCAAATACAAAGATTATTCACCATTTTGCTTTGTTCCTGTTTTCAAGGCTGCAATTTGCACTGTCAAGGACACTGCCAGCAAATACCACTGTCGGCACTGTCAATAAATGCACTGTCAGCAAATACCTCCTTCGGTGCCGAGGTGCTGCTGCGCACCGTTATCTTCTGGAAATGATAAAGCAAACAAGGAATCTGTCCCTGAAGCATCCCAAACACTGAGCTGAAGGAAGGTCACCCGGAGGAAGACTGAAAACCAAACAGCTATTTGCACCTTTTTGTTTTCCTAGAGGGAGAAGGAGAGCTGACAAGCTGCAGGGATGGAAGAGGTTTGTTTTGCTCATGTCCTGGGAGAGACTCTCATCACTGAAAGCATCCAGGTGGATCACACGACAGGTCACGTCTGCCTTTGGGATTTTCTGCATAGAGAGGTCCTCACACCAGTAGAGTATTTCCCTAAAACACATCCTAAATGTCCTCCAGGAGCATCTTCCCCCCTCCTCAGCTATAACTACACACAGATTTTAGCTCATAGGTTCTACGGAAGAGTGGATCCATCACTGCAGGTGTTGCAGCCCGATCCTCCCCAAAACCAGGGCCAGGCACCTAGCACAGCGCTCCGCAGCATGCTCCGCAGCACCGCTCACCGGCTCTGCACCTATAATCCTCAGGTCCCTGCTGAAAGGCAGACAGCAACATGAAACCACCTGGCAGAAAAGCGCAGTTGATGCATTTTCAGAATTATTTGCCCTTGTCATCTCCAGGCTTTATTTATAGTTTATGCTAAAATCCTCTGCTGAATTATTTTTATCACAATCAGCAAGAGGCACAGCACCTGTAACCTTTCCTTTTTATGATGCAAGTTTCAAGTCAAATTTGCTCAGCACCTCTGAAGCCTAAGCCTGCAACAATGATCTACAACCCTTATTTTCTTGCTCTGTGAACACAATAAAATATTTTGGGGCTCAAATTACTAGTGCAGGTGTCTGAAGCCAGGAAAAAGGAAAGGAAGGTATAAGGGCCCATAGGAGTGCAAAGAGCCCTGCGGTATGGGGAGCTTCAGGCAAGCAGCAGGAAGTCCCAAAAGGCAACTCTGGCTTCCAAGTGAGTCAAATTTGTAGATTATCAGGCCAATATTGGTGTCCCAGTAGATAAAACCCCAGGCACTCTCCAGCACCCAGCATTGCAGGTCAGTAACGCAGCTCTTGGCATTGGGGATCCCCAGGAGCTGATGGGGGTTTTGTAAAATAAATAAATAAATAAATAAATAAAAAGGGGAAATCCATCCTGGATATAAGCCAACCAAATTCAACCCTTTTTCTCCAAACACTGGTGCTTTCTTCTTCTCCCTCCCATGTTACGACACACGAGCGGAGCATGGTGCCCAATTCAGTGGCAGTACCTGGAGGGGAAGCCAGCTGCACTGATGCAGATGGTCTCCAGCACACCACAAGCTCTGAGCTGCTGAACTGCTCTCTTCGGATCAAATCTGCAATTACAGTTAGGATACAGTTAAGACACGCAGCACGGCAGGTGATTCAGTCCTCTACACCCACCCGGACATTGCACTGCAAGGAAGGAAAGGTCTGAACCAGCTGGAGAGCGACCCTTTTGGGTCACTTGCAGAAAATAAGGCTCTGCTGTCATCATCAGCATGGGGGCCGAAGAAAAGCAAGTATCAGTGATCCTGCTCATCTGATCCTGCTCATCTGATCCTATCTGATCCTGCCTATCTGATCTTCTCTTTCCAATTTATAACTGATGTCTCCCATCCTCCCACTATTGGGAAGAGCTTGGCTTCATCTTTTTGGTACTCCCCTTGCAGATACTAGCAGACTGCTATTAGGTTTCCCTTAAGCCTTCTCTTCTCCAGGCTAAATGTCTCATCTTAGCAAAAAAGAAGAAAAAATGTTCTCGCGAGCTGAAAAATGTTAAGTTTTAGGGGGGAAAAAATCCATTTTTTTCTTTCTTTTTTTTTTCCTGAACAATAAAGCTGTAACACCAAGTGTTCTGCATGACACCACTTTGATGCTAACACTGTACGGTGTCACTGACATCCCATTTCTCTCATTCCTCCTGGCACTTCAAGCAGAACTGCCTCTGAAATGCAAACTCCTTTACATCTGTGCCAGTTTTCACCACCTTGGTACAGACATCAGTATTATATACAAGAAAATAGGCTCAATTGAAGCCATAAATCTAGATTGCCCTGGCAATACAGAAATGCAACATCTCCACTCAGCGCCAGAACATCCTTCTGATATCTCCAGCCCATGGTGAGAGCATCTGCAGAGCATCTACTTCAATTCCACTAGAGATGGTTAGGAAACACCTCTGTGCTTCATCTAAAGAAAATAATGAAACAGAAAAGCATAATCCTATAATTTCATTTAGAATGAGGTTCTTCACTACTGGCCAAACTACTTTGGAGTTAAAGGGAACAAGATCAGGCACAAATACATTACTCAAGTGGTCGAACAAGGCCATCAGCTACTGCTCCCCTTGCTCACAGCTTTTGATACACCTCTCAAGCATAGGGGAAGACCCAGATCACCTTTTCACTCCAGCTGTTCACTCACCTGGATATTTGCCTCAGGCTGATGAAAGTCATGTTTTTATTTTTTCACTTTACTTTGGAAGCATCAAGATATTTATTTTGTTCATTTTGCAAGCAATTTTGCGAGCTCACTGCTTATCTACACCTTTTCATTTTTCTCTCTGCTACTTTTCACTATTTAATACTCTATTTATATCAAAGCGATTAAACATGCTGTCATTGCAAACCAAGAATGTGTCACAGCATGTTCAATTTAAGGATATTTATCTTTCAATACTAGCAGAGCATATCTACAAAATTACTAGGATATGCATTAATTTTTAGTTCAGTGACACAAAGAATGCCTAATGAAACCCAAGAGAAGTAACTCCAGCTTTTGGGACCTGCCAGGATGGAATGACACTGGGAGAGGAGCATCTCTTAAGGAAAAAGAGCTTGCTGCTGCTATGCAGCTAAGCACATTATCCAAAAGTCAACTTACTTGAACGGGAGCTTCTCATCATTTGGTTTTATGCAGCGTACGTAGTGCGGGGTGGTGGCATTCAGTGTCTCCATAAGCAAATGCAGGGAGTTCCTGAACTGCGAGACAAAACCATTTATTTTTATGGATGAAGGTGCTTTAAGGTGCAATCCATACCAGCCCATAGCTATAACATGATATAAACCTCCCTATGAGTCCAGCACGTACAGTAGCAATTCAGACAAGATGCTGGCGGGCTCAGGACTTCCAGCTCTACAATGCAGTGCATAGACAAGTGGGAAGCAGAATCACCAAGTCCTTAAGAGTTGGAGAGAGCTTGGGAGATCCCCAGGCCACCCACCTGCTCCAAGCAGGGGCAGCTATGGGCTCACACCAGCTTGCTCAGGGCTCTACCCAACTGTGTCTTGAAAACCTCCAAGGATGGAGACTGCACAACCTTGCTGGACACCTGCTCCACTGCTAGACTGTCCTCATGGGGAAAAATCTGCTTTTTCTTCGGTCAGAGCCTCCCTTGTTTCAACTTCTAACCACTATCGCACCTGGAGATACAGAGTCTAAAGAACCCTGCTGCGGTCCCAGCCTGGCTTATGCCACAGCTCCATCCTTCCAGTCAAGGCTGCTTTCCAAGACTGCTAGAAGGAGTCTAAAATATGGCCAAACCGACCCCATCCTACAACCCTGGTGTGCAAGGGAAATCTCTTCAGTTCGCACAATAGCTTTTTATTCATCTCTCTTTCAGCTGAAGAGGGAAGGGAGGCGAGACACCCTCAACTGTGAAAATGAGGTGTCTGGATTCAGCTTTCCCATGCTTCTCATCTCATGTCAAGCCAAGTACTGTCTATCTGCTTTTTTTTTCCCCTCTTTTTAAGCTTGGCCTCTATCGGTCAGCTTGTTTGTGAGCCAAATCACAGGAGACACAGGAGATGCAGTAAGTTTAAACAAAGCAGCTGTGCATTAAGCTTTGGGAGACCATCTGGTTCCCATACCAAGGTAATTGCACAGGTATTGGTCACCTCTTATCACTCATGCCAGGACCAAGAGTGGAGTAACTTGCTGACTCATTCACATTGCACGGTACCTGGCATCCCACTGTCTTCTTGTGCTCCTTGTTGGCCGCTTTGACCGCGGATCTGGCAGAGCGGATGTTGATCTTGGAGGTCCCCTTCCCCACCGAGGCAGCAGGCACAGCATCCTTCTCATCCTGGAACAAGTCCGCAACCATCTGGTACTGAAAGGAAAGACGAGGGCTGAGTATCCTCATCAGGGCAATAAACTAAAGACAAGAAGCGTTGCAGCCATGTAAACCACACCAACAGAGATGCCAGGGACCCTCTTTTGCAGTTCATCAACTCTTTAAGTGTGTGTATTAAATCGAACGAGCAGAAGAGGCAGCTCATTAGCGGAAAGGCTGTTGAAACCCGCTCACGCCATCATTACCAAAGTCATCCTGTCTTTTCAGGACAGGTTATGGCCTTTCTACGGCTAGTTATTTTTATTTATTTATTTAAAAGGAGCAGGATCTTCACATTTGCATTAGGTCCAAAGTTAAACACTAACTGCAGCAGTGCCTGGCAACAATGCCAGCTCCGAAGCCCCGGCTCAGTGTGGCGCAAACCGCTGATTTGCATTTGCGCTGCTGCTTTGCATTACTCACACCTGCCTAAAAGTGAGGCAGTTCTGAGCTGCACCCAGTGCTATTGCCCCCCAATGGATTTGGGGAGTTCCCGAGTTTGAGGAACGATGGCGTTCCTCAAGCTCAGCTAATTTGAGCCCTCTGACCCTAAACCTTTTCTGAAAATGAAAAAAAAAAGTTGAACTTTGCTACACAAACTTTAACCAAAACACTGCCTTGTTTTCTTACTTGTTGCTGATCCCTCAAAGAGGATGGCAGAGCCTGAGCAGGTCACAGACCTGAGGTTTGCAAGCTGCAGTTCCACCATCTAAAGGTTAACTCTGCTTTTTCTTCTTCCAGAATGATCCCAAGGAAAATAAATGCTTGGTCTGAGAGAGCCTTGAAAGACTGTTATAGCTCCCACAGCTCAAGGTCACCAAACTGCATTAGACTAGCTCCTCCAGCTCCTCCTAAAGGCTAGTTTGGTGTATTTAGAGCAAGTTCTCAAAAACCAACAGTACTTTACCATGTTATGTTCTTATTAAAGACTGCTGATCTCATTTTTACCAGCAGCTGTTGTCTACGAGTATTTCCAGCCCTGGTGCCGGCTTGTTTGCACAGCTTGCTAGCACAGCAGTCTAAATACTGGCGTGGAAAAGCAACTGTTTGCCTTACACTATCAGATTGCTCGCAGGCTCCGAGATCGTGCTCGCTGGGGAGCCGCTGTGTGCTCACAGCTATTATTTTTATCTCTGCAGCTTGTTCAACTCCTACCCACTGCACGTGCCAGACGAAGGCTTGCACCTTTCCTCCTGCCATCCAGCCCCAAAAAAGACATCCTAGCAGCTGTTTGGCTCTCAGGACGTGCTAATCTCCGGCGCTCTGACTGCTGCAGAAGCGGGATGCTTGAGGGGCAGGTGCTGGAAGGCAACCAACAGAGCCTTCAATTTAGCAGCTCGCTGGACACGGCAGCAAAATTCCAGGCTGTCATTTCAGGTTCTGAAATATCTTTAAATGCTTAGTTGCCTGTGTCATCAATCCCTGTCTCCGATCGCTGCTCAGAGCATTAAAGTGCTGCTACTGGGCCAGTGACCGGCAGTGGTCTCAGGGCTGAATTTTCAGCTTAGGTAAAGCAAAAGCGGTGCAGCTGGGACCATTTGCACCAGCCCAGAAACTGGAAGATAGGAGAGAAGGATAAAACCTTCCTTCCTGATTTCCCAAGTTGAAACTGCTGGTGCATTATCCATAATTACAAAGGGCAGGAATATAATCTCTTTAACAGCATGGCCCCGCGCTCCCGCTTGGCATTCAGACCAGCTTCCTTCCCTCGGAGAACATCATCTCTCAACCATTTTAGCTGACCAGTGCTCTCGGAAGTAATTGCCTGCTTTATAAAGTCCTTCTCTCTGTCTCGTTGGCTGAAATAATTGCATTCTAATTAGCAGGAGGCAATTCCACCACAGTGGGAGCTCTTCATCAGCAACATACTTGCTGACAGAGAGATGTTCAAGCCTTTGCTGTGTTAAATTGGCAGCGGTCTCCCCCTTGCCCATGCATTGACTTGGTGGGAATGAGGGGGAAGGTAGTGCATACTTCAGGTCTGATCCTGGTCCTTCCCAAGGCAGGACAAAGTCCTTGCGGCATAGCTTTCGTTAGCACAAAGGCAAGCTTTAGACAAATTAGCATGTCCCTCCAAGTTCAGACTTTTCTGTTCAGTTCAGAGAAACTGGACTGCTTTTTACAGAAAGCAACTTTTTTTTCTTTAGTTTAGACATCTGTGGAGTCCATGTGGCAGGTGAAAGGAGATGGAATGAAGAAAAACAACTTTTCTTGAGGGTGACACTGGAACAGGCAGTGCAGAGAGGTTGTGGAGTCTCTTTCTCCAGAGATACTCAAAACCCTCCTGGACACGATCCTGTGCGGATCCCAGATTCAACCTAGGTGTCCCTGCTTGAGCAGGGAGGCTGGACCAGATGATCCCTAGAGGTTCCCTCCAGCCTCAACCCATCTGCGACTCTGAACCTACCTGGCAGAAGGACAAGTAGAAAGCAAAAACGCAGGATTTTGGAGGTTTCATGAAAAGACCACAGTCCCTCGCAGCCCAGGAACCAGCTGCAGAGCCACCATGGCAGCACTGGGAACTTATCAAGTGCTTCTGCGTGATCCAAGGAGCATCGGCATAGTTTTGGAACCATGTAAGTCCAAGTCTTTGGCCTTCAAATATATCTCCTAATAGTTTAAGTTACTCCGCTCCAAGCAAGAAACCCTATATTTCTTGAAATAAAACCAACTGCAAGGAGTGTGGTTTGGCTCTTTGCTATCAAAGTCCAGCCTACTCTGCAGGGCAGGAATGACACTCGTGCAAGAGGCCAACCAAGGTGCATGATCCATAACAGGCCTTATTGTTTCTGGAGTGCCATTGTGGTGCCCATTCCATCCAGAGGCATTAAGAGATGGAGATAGCAGCAAGCCAAGAGAAGGAACCAAGCCTCTTGCTCTCCTCCCCATGGAGCAACTACTTCACGAGGATGAGGATTTCCCAAGAAAGGTTTGCAAAACCTTGGTAAAACCCAACTGTCAGCAGATGCTGATGCTGTGCAGGCCATGATGGCAAGGTAAGGGAGGCAGTAAACTCTGACTTTGCCCCTCCTCATTTGGCCATGTGCTTTCATCATAGCTACAAAGCCATCAGACACCTCCAAGCATTTATTCAATCCTCCAACCCTCACCCAAAATGGCCATCGCTGGAGCAGCAGCAAGTTCAGCACTGGCTAAATAATTTATCATAGAGCATCGATTATTCCCCTAGACTACTTGGCGTTTCTAATAAGCCCTAATCAGGCATGATTTTTGCTCTGGGAAAGCTGTAAGCTTCCTGAGCACACAGTGCTTTTGATTTGGGCATTATTAGAGCCCAGTTTCACAGTTATTAGACCTGCAACTGCCCCCGTGGACAGGAAAATTGCATACCTTGCCATCTTCCTATGAATTCAGTGCTGAAATGCAGGGCGAGCCATTGACAACACTCCATTAATTTCCCACTCTCGCCTCTCTTATTTGACAGGAATAAACTCCTGCTTAAAACACTACTATAAATAATATTTACTTCCTTTCCCCTCATCATTCTCCTTCTCAGGCAAAGGGACCAAAATCTCAGCATGTGACATATGCTTCTGTTAAAAACATTTGGGGGAATTAAAAAGTTAGAGATGCACCTGGAAGGGTTAGGGCAATTGAAAGAAGCCTTAACTCATTAATTAGCAATTAAAGACTTGTAGCAATGACTTTGATTGGCAGGGGAGTGTTTCCAATCTGTTTCTAAACAATTCAGACATGAATTTCCTTAACAGTCTGTATCATTTTCATTTTTAACCAAAGCCCCTGTGTGCTTTATGCATATGCATGTCCATGTCACATGCGTATTGTCAATGTGGGTTCAAGGATGGAAATGGGGCAATACTGGAAGTCGATATAAAATCTGACCGTTTTGCAGACAAGTGTGGCCTCTCCTACACAAAGCAGACCCCAGATCCCTTTCCTGCCCTTACCTTGCTGGCTTTCGGGATGTTGATCTGCTCTTCATACACGGTATCCCTGTATTTCTCAAGAAAGCCTTCGCATTGGTACTCCACCTAACACAAGGAAAGGGGAAAAGGCAGAGGTTAAATTCCTCCTCCCAAAAGTCCGATAGCGCAGCCACAACGCGCTCCTCCTGAGGCAAGCTCACTCAAAATGCCTAAGGGGGAGAGGGGAATAACTAGAATGTAACGACCATTATTTTTAATTAAAAAAAAAAAGTGAATCTGAACAAGGGCAAAATCCTTAACACAAGCACAGATTGTTTCTTAGTCATTAAACTATTTTGTAGGGCATCCAGGTGCATTTTCACCCAAACCAGTGGCAGAACCTCAAGGATTATTATTCCCTTGTCTTTTTATTATTATTATTATTATTTATATATATATTTTTATTTTCCCCCTTAAAAGGGGGTCCAAAGCTCCCTGTGAGCTAATCGATAAACTTCAAAAGGACAGAAGGACACTATACACACACACACATGCACTTCTGTATTTGTAGCTTTACACTTTTAACATTTTCTATTCAACTCCAAAACGTTCATGCAAAGCTTGGCATCTTCTCGCTCCAAACAGCAGGATTCCAACATACTGTTCCAAAACTCCTGCTCTCCCAAATAATCCCCCACTCCAATATTTCTTCAGTGAAGCTGCCCTGACAGTAATTCATTTCACTATGGCTTGGAGAAAATAGGATTTTTCTCTGCTCAGGAAAGTGTACCTATTTAAAGCTTAATGCAATAGTTGAGAGGCAGGAGTCTTCAAGCTGATGAAGGTCTGAGCACCCAGCCAAGCATCCCTCTAACAGGAGCTCACTGCTCCTATAAATTAATTGAGTGTATGTGTGTGGACCTCTTCTCTGCTCCACCCGACTTGCCTTTCTGCATTCAAGCCCCCAAGCACACAGCGTTACCTTGTCTGCGAAGTGCACCATGATGAAGGTGGTGTTGGACATGCGGGGCTTCTGGAAGTGCTGGCTGCCAGCGTGCCGGTCGTACAGCTTCTGCGCCCAGTTGTGGTCCGTTCCTTTGGGCACCTGAGCGGGAAGGAAAGGAACACAGATGCAATCATCAGATGTACAAATGCCCTGACTGCCCAGAAGCTCCTGTCCCGGCTGGCTGAGCAGGAGGAAGGACACCAGGAACCACAACAGCTTGGGGAAGAAGCAAGTCTACGATGTGCATTACAGTCAACAAGAAAAAGTCAAAAATATGGCCCCAAACTCCCATTTCTCCACTGGTGTCACCAAAATTTAACAAGCAGGAGCTTGAGAACCAACCTATGAAAACTTCCAGGTCAACATCCCAACTCATGCCTCCATGGGCATTCCCCACACCTTCATCCGTGCTTCAGAACCTGTTGACTGGAGTGCCAAGGGGGCTGCTGCAGCATTTGCTGCCTGGGCAAGGGATGTCTTTGGTTTTGTCACATGGACACACTGGCATTACCACTGCTCAATAATAAATAACGTGCATTACAAGAACGCTGCCAACAGCAGCTACATGGATATATGAGAAACAAAGTGCCTGTCCTCCCTGGTTCTGGGAATGGGTGCTATGTTATTTTCATATATAGTCTTGCACAACCACAGTAAAACCCCCTGAACGCCCAGGTATTTGGGCTGAAGAATGAGATCCTGTCCACAGTTATAGAAAGAGAACAGTTAACAAAGGTCCACCCAAACCTGCTGATATCAAAGTTCTCAGCAATGTATGGGGAGACAAGTGGCACTGAAATCTCAGCAGCTAGAAACAGGCTCCAGGGTTTCTGGCACATGGCAGAAGGAGCTGGGAAAGGCTAGACACTGTCTTTTGAACAGCATGGGAAAGTGCACATCCTGTATCAACTGCATAACATGAAGGTAACCTGCCATAAAACACAACAGGAACCCACAGGAGAGCTTGAGAGCAGCGGGGAGCTCACGAGCTTGGTCAAACAAATCCTCCTCTGGCAGTTTCAGAGTCACATTGTCCCTCAGTGATCAAAAATTCCTCAAGATTCATAATAAATAATTGCACAAAGATGTCATGATGGGCACAGCAGTCGGGCAGCAGGACCCTTTACAGGGAAAGCTGGATATCCATAGCAGCATCAGATGTTACTTCCAAATGATCTCTGAGAATAGTATGGAAGATGCACTGCACTCATGCAAAGCAGGTGGTTTGGGGTAGAAAAGCAGAAAACTGCATCCAGCTTTGATACAGAGATATCACTACATTCCTTGAAGAATTTTCAAGTTCCTTCAAAGGCAATTTCAGTCTCCTGAACACCAGCCCAGGCCAGCTCCTCTTGAAGAAGAGGAAGAGAGTGCTGGAGCTGCTCTTAACATATTGCCTCCACCCTCAGTGTCCTCAGGGAACTCTAATGACTCCAACCAAAGTCATTCTTTACCCTCTGTGACAGGACCAAACATCTTCAGAAGTTTCCTGGTACTCCAGATATCCAAGCACATCTTCTACATGACCTTCTAACTTGCCAGGACCGGATTTTTGGAAGGCTGCCTCTCTCCTTACTCTCTGTCTCTGCTGATGGGCTTTATATTGGTTCTTCTGTCTCTCCTCAAAAGCTCTGCTCTTATTCTAAATTATTGGAATTTAGGACTTCCTAAATCCCATGGGCAACTTTCTGAACTTGTGCTGGCCCTGGCTCACAAGGCTACTGCAAGGCCACTTTCTGCTGATGGGGCATCACGCTTCCTGTTCCTCTGACCTCTTCTTAGGCCAATGCAAAGCCAAGAGGTCCTAGATGCCCTAGCGATCCTCCAGCATGGGTCATGGGGAAGACTGTGACAAGGTCCTTTGAGGACTCCAAGGAAATTTAGTAGAAGGTGCAGGGTCACAGTCCCACAAAGATTATAAGGAACCTTGTGCAGATCAGAGATGTAACAGGAGGTCGGATCAAATGAGGCCCCCCTCCAGCCTTAATAACTCTATGACAGCTCTCAACTCCAAAGACCTGAAAGACCTGTCTAGTTAAACCCAAGGAATAAAAACAGATCTTAACATACTCTTTTCTTAGAGGTCTTATGGTTTGCTTTCAAGAGACAGTTTTAGCCCTTCAAAACTCCAGTTCCTAATCAAAACTTTTCATTCATTGCTGATTCTCATTCCTGTTCTGTTTGCCCCCTTCTCCAAACTCTGTGGTGAGACACTCACTGAGCCCTGAAGGTCTATGACCTCTGTTAGTCAAATGGCTTCAACATTTCTAGAAAGCTCCCAAACTCTCATTTAAAATAATAATAATTAAAAAAATCAAACTATGATGACTTGAGCACCAATGTGGAAGCTGCATTGTCCCCATTTTGCTACACTGCCCAAACCCCACCACTGTCCCCTCGGTCCCCAAGCACGTTTCCCCACTTTGCCCCATGCTGTTGAGACAGCATGCCTACCACTCAGCTCAACACCAGCAAGGGGGACCATGGAGCCACCTTGATGGGTGAAGGACCACCAGCAGCAATGTGGGTGTGAAGGTTTTCATGCAGACACCGCTGCTTTTACTTGACAGGCTTGCTGAAATCTTCATAAAGCTGAAGCCTTTTTGCAGGTTATTACAAAAGAGCCAATTTGTGGGCCCATACAGGAGCTGGTGACTAATCACAGCTTCCCCTGGTGACAGACACCACTGAGACAATTGGTACCTGACATGGGGGAACAGCTCCTGTGCCCCAGTTTCTTGGGCAAAAAAAAGTCACAGATTAAAAAATACTAAAAGTTAGAGAGAGATTTGCAGTCAAGTTTCCCTTCTCTGTGCTGTTTCACGTTGCCATTATCTTCTAGGAGAAGAATCGCCTCCTAGATGAGAGCAGAGCTCCATCAAATGCAACGTCCCGTCACCAGGAGCAACCAGCGCCCGGTGTTTTTGAGTGGAGCCAAGGGACTTACCAGACAAGTCACCAGGGAAACTTTCCTTATGGTCCTCTTGATACTTAGGAGCTGCCTCAAGCTCAAACAACTTAACAGGCTTAACGGTGCAGACAGAAAATGAAATTTGGGGGCCAAATATGAAGCAAAAATGTCTGACCTTCCTGAGCCAGCTCTGGATAAGATGCTATTTTAGGACTGTTAAATTATGTTTAATTCACTTTCATTTTCAAGTTATGTTCAGAAACTGTAACAGACAGGATAAGACAAGCTGGGAGGAAGGCTGAAGCTTTTTCTCTGCTGTGCATATGCTTTTAGCTGTTCCTTCTAACTGAGCCTCTGGAGGACCTCAAATGCAATTTTTTAGGTGTTTTCCTTGGCCATGGGCAGAGCCTGTGCAGGACGTGCAGGCTGAAGGCAGGCCTGCCACGTCTGGGGACTGTCACACTGCAGAGTAGTCACTTAACAGGTCACCTTGCTTCCACAGGCAAGGACAGGCCACATGTCTCGTTAAACCCCAATGGGGACCAAAGTCAAAAATAATGAATCCCAAACCTTGCCCTGTGATGCAACATGACATGCCTGCCCTTGCACCATTGGAAAAAGCCCATGGATCTCATCAGGTCAACAGGGACCAGCTGGGCACTCTGATGACCTTGGCCATTCAGCAGCAAGACCCCTTTCCTCCCCTGTGTCCATGCACCACCCCTCTTGCGTTTGACTACAAATCCCCAAATCCATCCCAAAACAGCAAGATGCTTCCTGCCCTACAACGCATCTAAGACTCCATGGAGATTCTTCCCAAAGAGATGGCAACTAATTGAGCATGCTATCACCAAACTGGCCCGAGGAACCGTTGGGAGCAAAATGAACACATCCCTCCCCAGTTCAGTACATGTGCCTCCACAAGGCAACTTTATCCAGTGAGAAGGTTGTCATCTGCCTCTTCCCACGAAGCTCCATGCCAAAGAGTAGGTGCCCCAGCTTCTCAGAAGAATTTCCCACCTAGCACACTTTGTTCCTAGATGCATTTGGCAATTTATGACCAAACAAGAAAAAGTTCAGCCTTCTTTCTGGATTCCCATGTAGGTTTGCAGTTCTGGCATTTCTTGTAAACTCGTAAGCCTGAGTTAATTTAAGTTGGTATGAGAGACAAGTGGTAAGCACTGCGATCTACTGTCCCAAAAATGCAGTCTTGCCTTGAGAAATAAATATATTTTTTTAATGTCCCAACATTTTCTAATATAATTTGTCTGACCTTTAATTAAGGAAAAAAAAAAAAAAAAAAGCCCTCTGTCTCTATGGTTTCAGAACTACAGACCAACAGAAGCAAAGGAAGGACCCAATCCAAACCCCAATGAAAGATCGCTAGATTAGTTATTAATGGGAAGCCAACACAGGTGAGGACACCTGTACAGAATGTCATCACCAGCTCCTGTTTCTCTACTCCAAAGGAGCCAAGAGGACATCTGATTTCAGTCCTCTGCAAAACTATGGACTGAAGTCAACACGAGTTTGTCAACAGCTTCAGCAAATCCTTGTAGCATGGTCAATTCCCTCATTACTCATCACAGCCCAGGCCTGATTTTCACCGCTCCAGGACGCAGGCATTCCCCAAAGAGACATATTTCTCACTTCAGGCCTGTGGCACAGTTCAGCACAGCAAGGTTAACCAACCAGAAGACCCTCCCAGGCACACATTTCCATATGCCGAGTGCCACAAAAGCATAAACTCTGAAGTCTGGAGAGTTTACACTAAATGTAGTTGACTTCACCTCAAATAACTCTAGCAGGAAGATTTTGTTCTCCCTTGGGACAAAACATGGACTGAGGCAGGGAGGAATGTCAGCTCCTGGATTAGGTTGAAAGATCAGAATGTCACAAGCAGGAGCTGTCCCTAGGTGCAGCCCGGCCAGACACACGAGTTTTGACATTACATGGCATGAACAGGATTCCCACTTTATAAAGCAGCAGCAAACTTCTTCCAAAGAGGCTTGCAATGGTCCTGAAGCAAAACAATAGCCAACGGCCTGCCCTAGCCCTCAGCACCCAAGCAACACGTGTCCTTTACCCTCCTGTGAGCTACGACAGGTAAAGGTCTGTGAGCTGAAGAACAACCCATTCTTTAACCTTTGAGAAAACCTAAATTGACAGCAAAAAGATGAGTGGTTTTCTTTACCTTGCACTCTTCATCCAGCAGGTCCAAGATACCAAGTTTTGCTTCTATAAGGTCAATGCAGGGCTGGTTATCATAGAAGTCTATAAGCGTCCAGAGGATTTCTTCCTTCATGTACTCTTCTTGTTCCAGCTTGAACACATGCTGAGATGAGAAGAGCAAAATTACCAACCTGCACCTTGAACACCCCAGGGCCAGCTCCCTTCATTCTTCAATACCATGAATAGTTTTCCTGCAGCATGTCAAGAAGTCACAGAAACTTTAGGTGCTTTGTGCAGGAAAATGTACATGACCAGGAGATACACCCGGGGCTATTAAAAATCCCTCTCTCCTTTGGGACTCCACTGACTAAACAAGGGACCCGCAATGGATTCACTAGCATGAAGCCAGGCCATGTTGAGCATGTGTGCCCTGACGGATGAGCACCAATCCACAAAGCTTCCTAGGAGAGATATCACCTTCGGCACCATAACTGACTCATGAACATCTCTATTGCAGATTCTGATTTTTCTAAAAATAGCAATAATAATAAAAGGTTATTTCTATGGCTTATATATCTCAGACCTATCTCCAGGCAGATAAATTGTCTTTGGCTATTTCTGAGACATTAAGCATATTAAAAAAAAACATATTTTTCAAGTGCAGTTCTTTTTCTTCAAAAGATGGCTTTTTAAAATCTCTTCAAACATGTCATCTCTGAGTTGAAATTTATAAACTTTAGAAGTGATAGTTGGACACATTAAGAAAGATATGCACAGTGCAAACAACCTATCATTTCCCTTTCATTTTTACAAGCAGTGATCTGATGTATTAGAGATATCTTAAATGTTTGTGCCAGGCATGTGATACCGTTCCAAAGTGCCCAACTCCTCCTGCAGTACTTAGTTGCTCCAGTTTAACAGATTCTCCCTCAAATCTTGAAGTTAATAGCAAGTCTTTCCCTGCCTACAACCAGGGCAGAAGATGACCCCTTAATGATTTTGCTTTCAGTCCAGGTAAGTGCTTATACTTAATAAAATAGAAGAATTTGTTGTGTCATGTAAAAAAGGAGGGTGTATGGCTCGGCCATGTAATCCAGAATTTCAGTTGTTGCGGTTGAAGTCACGTTTAATCAGCAGGTTTTCACTAGTGCTTTATCACACAAGGAAAACCAGGACTGGGCGCAACCACCCATCAGCTCCAGCTCATCTTAGGAATGAAACCATGCAAACCAAAGCTGGCAAACTCCTGACTTATTCAAAAACATCAGCGGGCCTTTGCTTAAACCATTTGTAAACCTGCTTCCAGTATCAATCTTATAAATAAACCAAGCACCATTTCCAACTTGGCCCAAGTATGCAGTGCACAAGCCTTGCCTGTGAGAGATGGTATCGCAAGGACAACATTCGTGATCATTAAAGTACAAAGCAGACATGCAATTGTCTGGCCCCAATGAGTTTTCTAAGTTTCATGGCACATTTCCAAGTCGACCTTACCAAGTTGAACTGCTGCTGGAGCTTTTCGTTAGCATAGTTGATACAAAACTGTTCAAAGCTATTCACTTCAAATGTTTCAAACCTGAAAAACAATGAATAAAACAGCATTAAGAGTCACTGCTTATTAAAAAAAAATCTACTTCACTCTGTGATGGTGTCATCTATGTGACAGGAAACATTGGTTATTCAGTCTTGTTGAATTCCTATCTCAAGTCTACACTTTACTCCTCTTACCCCAAATTTGTATCTTTCCTTTCTAAAACTCAAGGGATTCAAAAAGTCTATTCTGATAAGCGCAAGTCTGATATTTCATACAGCCGTAGCTGCTTGCACATTAGACAGTAGTGCCATCTGAGATGAGAAACGTAACAATTCCTCTTGAGGAAAAATATCATTAAATCTTAAGGGCACATATATTCACTGTGAAGGTGATGGCCAATCACTAGCTGCTATTGTTTTTTTAAAAAAGATATTATTTTTAGTGCAATTTAATAGAGCAGAAAGAAAAATTCATAATTACAGCCTCTGCATTGCATCCTCATTTTACTCCTATTAATTTTAATAATGAGTTTTAAGGCATGGTTGGCAAGGCATAAAACTTTTGACAAATTTCTGTAGGGATTAAACTTATAGAAAAAGTGGCAAAGTCCCCTCCATCAAATGAATAAGCTGCTGCAGTAAGTGCATGGCGCTTGGGTTGGGAAAATGCTTCAAGCTTCTTTCATGCTTCACTAAGAAAACACTTGTTTTCATCTGAGGGCCTGGCACAGGTCTGGCCCCTACTTACAGGGGGCAAAGAGCCTTTCCCCAGGCCATGTTAGAAGGTCTCCCTTTCTGTCATTCCCAACCCTACCAGAGACCATCTGGGATAAGTGCACATTGAGCTCAATGTAGACACTTTGGGAGATCAGGGTGCTCTGCTGGAAAAGTGAACCAAATTGAGGAGGTCTCCCCATAGCCACCTAAAGAGTAAGAGCATCCCCACCTATAGATGTCGAGCACGCCGATGAAGGAGTGCTGCTTGACGGTGGTGTGCAGGGCCTTGTTGATGTGCTTCATGATCCAGTTGAAGAGCTGGGCGTAATGTGCTTCGCCAGGGCATCCCTGGCATTGAGCCCCTGCTGAAGGGACGTGCTCTTCATGTAGGTCTCAGCCATGGTGACCAGCTTGCAGTGGCAGAGTCAGTGCTGCATCTGGTCATGCTCCACGCCCAGCAAGCCACAGAAGGTGTTCAGGTGCTCGTCCATGCTCTGCGAGGGAAACAACAGGATATGAACGTGGCAGGTGCTCTCCAATACTTGCAGGGTGCATCAAAAACTGCTCCCCTTCCCACCACTGCCATCCAACCCCACTAGACTTGGGCAAACAGGGGAGATGGCTCACACCTAACGCTGAGCAGTGATGCTGCACAGCTTTGCTATGCTCCAGCTATCTTTATCATCTCAATCTTCATAGAAGAGTAGGTCTGTATGGTGAGTGTCACCAGAAAAGAGCACTGGTGGCTTTGTTCCCACTTTCTGTCCACTTTGTAGTGACACCATGTGCTCCAAAGGAGGTGCTCCCCTCTCAGGAGCATTCCCCAAAACCCCTTCCACCTCAGCTTGTGCAATGAGATGACCAGGATGGACAAGATGCCACAACTACAGCCCCCACCATGTCACCGCGAGCATATAAAGCCACCGAGGAGCAGGTTTAGTTCTCTAGCATCTTTGCTCTACAACTGCTATTTTCAACACCAAGCAGAAGTAGACTAAGACCAACCAGAGCTGAGCACAAAGCGAACATGCCGTTGTATCCCCTCTTCTACAACATAACTCCATCACTTTTGGATAACCAAGCTGCAAAGTGGTGTTAAGAGAAGGGGCATAATCAATAAAATGAAAACTCTACTTAGTTTTCTTCAGTGTATTTTCTTTCCTTATACAACATTAGACAATGTAGTCCTAAGTCTACTACATAAAGAGAGCAGACACCTTTGGGACAATGAGAAATCAGGCTTCCTTTTGCCACTGTCACACCAATAAGAAGTTGTTTCCAACTATATATGTATTTGCATAAAGGAGATGGGCTTGGGAACAGGGAGAAAAATACAGTTTCAAAGTCCTCCAGGGCACTTTGTTGCTCTAACGCATTTCTGACTGCAGATTCAAAGTCCTCACAGGGTTGATTTAATACCACGCAATTAAACTCGAAGGCAATTAAACAACATGAACTCCATTGCAGAACTCAACGCTGCCAGAGTGGACAGGGTTATATATCCAATTTGCCAAATATCAAGAAAATTACCCCCAGCATCCAACTAATTGCATGCAGCATTATCTCAAGGATAACACTAGGAGTGCATGCTGAACCCATTTTAATATTTTAATTAGGAATAAATGATCTAGTCTGGGAGGCAATGATAATTGATAGGACAGTGTTTGCCACAAAAATTGCCCTTTTTTTTTTGTTCTCCTGAACAAACACATGGAAACAGGAAAGTCACCACTAAGGCATCTTTGGTCTTATTTATTCCCACTAATAAAAAGACATATTTGCTTATTTTTCCTTAAATCCCTCTGCTTCCTGATAGACCCCATATGCTGGTGGCACTCAAAGATTTGCCAGTTTTCCTGCAGCAAAGGCAGTCATGGAAAATTAACACCTTTAAGAAAGGAGGAAAAGCTAAAGCAATGCTGGAGCTTAAGGCATTAAGTGACATTTGGGGCTCTTTTTAAAGCAAAGAAAGAATCACGCTGTTTACAGGCAAGTCAGTGATGAGAAACAGGGTGCTGCTGCCCAGGGAGAAGCCAAACGGTCAGGATGTGACCCTTGATGGGTTTCCAACAAGAAGCAATGGAAAATAGGAGGAAAAGGATTCCCTAGGGATACATACCAAGGTCCTGTGAAGCAGGAGGCATCCAGCCTAGGCTGCACAAACAGTTTCTCCCACCCTGGTCACCCACCTACCGAGATGCTGCAGGCGTCTCTATTGTGCTCCGCTTGGAGGCCCAGGTTGCCCAGGTGCAGAATGGCAGCGATGATCTGGAAGATGGTGGTCTGGTGGGACTCCTTCACTCCTGTGGGAGCAATGGAGAGGCCCATCTGCACTGGGCAGCACGATCCATGGCTTTTAAGCCAAACGCTGCAAGGGGGGTTGACTTCTGCTGGAAAATTTTCTAGTTCCGATTTTTCTGCAACACCCTCAGCAAACTGTGCAGAAGGGATGATCAAGGCCACCATGGGAGCTCTTCACATCCACTACTATGTTTTAATCCTTATTAATAGCATAGTTGTGAGCACGAGGGGACGTAAAACAAAACAAGGTGAGCTCCCAAAACTCACTTGGCTCCTTATTGCCGCTGTTAGCGAAATATCAACGTTTCTTGCAAGAAGCCTGTGCAGGAGCCCTTACCGAGCAGAGCAAAGGCGTGCCTGGTCTTCTCCAGGTCCTTGGCGTCATCCATGTCCTCGATGGACACATCACCTCCCTGCGACGTGTAGAAGAAGTCTTTGGCACATGCTGGGGGAGAAGGAAGCAAGAGCATGGGCATCAGCGAGGCAGCATAGCATTGACGGGGCACAAAATACGGCTCTCTGCCCAAGTACATATATATTGCATATATATTTACGTATATATACACACACACTTCTATATATACACATATATACACACAAAAAATAGGTGTGTATACATATATCTGTATATAGATGCATAAAGCGTGTGCATGGATATATAAA